GTCCGCGCGGATTCCTTGGGTCTGCGCCAAAACCTCTCCCTGGCGCTCCGAGCGCGCCAGGGGCGGCGCCGGAGATGCCGCCAGGGGGGGCCCAGCGCTCATGAAATCCGCGCGGACCGTCGAAGGCTCATGGTTCTATAATTTGTTTGTCCTTCGAATGTCCTCCCTTGGCAGGTGGACGACGATGGTCTCACGCGAGATGGCACAGCGACCTACGCGGCGGCTTACGCGGGCCACCGGCGCGGCACGCCACATCGGAGACGAGGGCGTGTACGCGCGACCTTGCGCGGGCAGCTTACGCGCGAATGTCGGCGCAGTCGGATGAGCCGATTTCCCACCACCACTAACATAGGTAGCAGAGGGAAGAGCCCAGCGTAGGGAGGGTAGCAGAGGGAGGAGGGGGAGGAGCAGAAGGAGGAGGGGGAGGAGGAGGAGGAGGAGGAGGAGGAGGAGGAGGAGGAGGAGGAGGAGGAGGAGGTGGAGGAGGAGGAGGAGGAGGAGGAGGACCTCCCCATCCTCCCTCCTCCTACCCTTGGCAGTGGTGGTGGAACATTGGCCCATCGCAGTCGACCCCGTTTTGTTCCCTTCCGCTCCCCCATCACTCCACCACTCCCAGCAGCGAACACACTGATGCCGGCCCCTCTACGCGAGCATGCGCTGGGGCAGGAGCTGCAAGCCCTGGACTATCATAATCGCCACCACCATGAGAAGCCAACGCCCACGAAGGCGAATAGAGTTGTGCCAATCCCCGACCCTGTCGGCGTGTGTGAGGCTTGTCCGTTCAAGTCGTCATCTCCGTCATTCGTTGGTCGTCGCCTCTGTCGTCCGCGCTTCTCCCCCCCCATCCTCCCTCATCCACCTCCTCCACCCATCCTCCACCTCCCACTCCTCCTCCTCCCCCTGCCCCCCCCCCTCGTTTTCATCCTCGTCGTCCTCAGGGTCGGCGGCACCGGCCGCAAGGCCTTCGCAACATATAGAGGAAGGCCCATCCCAGCCGCACCGCACAGCGGCCCCAGTCTTTTGGCGTCGCTCGTATGGCCTGCGACGGGTCTGTCGGTGAAGGGGCCGGTGGGCGGCCGAGAGCCGCCCGCCAGAGACCGGCGCCCCTCCTCGGGGCACGGCAGGGGGCCCCTTCGGGCGAGCGGGGAGCCGCTGCCGGAGGCCCTGCGCGCGGCCGGGTGCCGCAGGGAGTGGCCCTGCCCCGGGGTCGGCGGCGGGCCCCCAGGGGGGCATGCACGGAGGGGCCCCCGGACACACCGATAAAAAGCCACACGAGCCCCAGGATTCCCCGCCTCTCCCAGTAGTTGTCCTGGAGCGTCGTCTTCCCCCCACTGACCCATCTCTTCCCAGATGTTCCTGGGGATCGGATCGACGGCTCCTTGTGTCGGGGTCGGCGGCGGGCCCAGGGGGGGCCTACGGTCAAAGCTGAGAGCGAGGATGCGCGACGAGCACGCCAGGCCCTCGGACGCCCCTGCCGCAGCTGTTCGGGCGGGGCCGGCCATCGAGAGCGGCCGAGGATGGACAGGAGATGGCCGAAGAGGCAAGGATGCCAGGGGACCCTACAGTGGGGGCGTTGACGTAAGGAGCCGTAAATAAGGAACGGGGCCCCTTTTTTCCATAAGCTCCACTTCGATGTCCGATCCAAGACCGAAGGCAAACCCAAGGCAAACAGTAAAACAACTAAGGAACACGGAGCCCCTCCCAAACGAAAAGGCTTCCTTCTTCAGCGCCCCGACTGTAGTGAAGCCGATCATCCTTACCATCTGTGTTGACTGTGCGGAGAGGGACGGGCCTTCTCAGAAGGCTCGGAGGGCCCCGGGCCTTCTGGGAGCCTTCCCCGAGGAGACAGGGAGCTGTTCAGAAGATGTGAGGGTTTTTGAACAGCCCCGCCGCCTTCTGAGAAGGCTCGCCCCCTCACACTTCCCCCCCGGGCTCGCCGCCGACGAGGTGCCCCCTGCTCTTCGCACCACTTCGGAACCCCTGGGGCCCTCTGGGCCTCGCCAGGGGTTCTCAGGAGGCCATCTAGGCCTGGAGGCGGCCGAGGTATCTGAGCTGGATGAGCCCCGAAAAAAATTATCCTGGCGAAGGACCCAACCATATGCAATTGTGAATACCGCAATTGTGAATATCTTCTTCGGTGGCGCTCCCTATGGGGCCACGAAACGTGTGAGGGGTGTGCCGAAATGGGTGCGCGGGACGCGTGCGGGCACACCCACTGGGACCTTCGGTGGAGCTCCCTATGGGGCCACGAAACGTGTGAGGGGTGTGCCGAAATGAACGTGCGGGACGCATGCGGGCACACCCACTGGGACCTTCGGTGGAGCCCCCTACGGGGCCACGAAACGTGTGAGGGGTGTGCCGACATGTGTGCGCGGGACGCATGCGGGCACACCCACTGGGGCAGTCGGTGGAGCTCCCTATGGGACCACGAAACGTGTGAGGGGTCACGAAACGCGTGAAAGGTGTGTCGAAATGGGTGTGCGGGACGCATGCGGGCACACCCACTGGGGCCTTCGGTGGAGCCCCCCATGGGGCCACGAAGCGTGTGAAGAGCATGCCGAAATGGGTGTGCGGGACGCATGCGGGCACACCCACTGGGACCTTCGGCGGAGCTCCTATGGGGCCACGAAACGCGTGAGGGGTGTGCCGAAATGGGTGTGCGGGACGCATGCGGGCGGCAGCACTGAGGCCTTCGGTGGAGCTCCCTATGGGGCCACGAAGCGTGTGAGGGGTGTGCCGAAATGAATGTGCGGGACGCATGCGGGCACACCCAACGGGACCTTCGGTGGAGCTCCCTTTGGGGCCACGAAACGTGTGAGGGGTGTGCCGAAGTGGGTGTGTGCGGGACGCATGCGGGCGGCAGCACTGGGGCCTTCGGCGGAGCTCCCTATGGGGCCACGAAACGTGTGAGGGGTGTGCCGAATTGGGTGTGGGTGACGCATGCGGGCGGCAGCACGGGCGCCTTCGGCGGAGCTCCCTATGGGGCCACGGAACGTGTGAGGGGTGTGCCGAATTGGGTGTGCGTGACGCATGCGGGCGGCAGCGCCGGGGCCTTCGGCGGAGTTCCTTATGGGGCCAGGAAACGTGTGAGGGGTGTGCCGAATTGGGCGTGCGTGGCGCATGCGGGCGGCAGCACTGGGGCCTTTTGCGGAGCTCCCTATGGGGCCACGAAAAGTGTGAGGGGTGTGCCGAATTGGGTGCGCGTGACGCACGCGGGCGGCAGCACTGGGGCCTTCGGCGGAGCTCCCTCTGGGGCCACGAAACGTGTGAGGGGTGTGCCGAATTGGGTGTGCGTGACGCATGCGGGCGGCAGCATGGGGCCTTCGGCGGACTGGGGCCACGAAACGTGTGAGGGGTGTGCCGACTTGGGTGTGCCGCATGCGGGCGGCAGCACTGGGGCCTTCGGCGGAGCTCCCTATGGGGCCACGAAACGTGTGAGGGGTGTGCCGACATGGGTGTGCGGAACGCATGCGGGCCACCCACTGGGGCCTTCGGCGGAGCTCCCCATGGGGCCACGAAACGTGTGAGGGGTGTGCCGAATTGGATGTGGGTGACGCATGCGGGCGGCAGCACTGGGGCCTTCGGTGGAGCTCCCTATGGAGCCACGAAACGTGTGAGGGGTGTGCCGAAATGGGTGTGGGTGACGCATGCGGCGCGGGCACTGGGGCCTTCGGTGGAGCTCCCTATGGAGCCACGAAACGTGTGAGGGGTGTGCCGAAATGGGTGTGGGGGACGCATGCGGCCGCGGGCACTGGGGCCTTCGGTGGAGCTCCCTATGGAGCCACGAAACGTGTGAGGGGTGTGCCGAAATGGGTGTGGGGGACGCATGCGGCCGCGGGCACTGGGGCCTTCGGTGGAGCTCCCTATGGAGCCACGAAACGTGTGAGGGGTGTGCCGAAATGGGTGTGGGGGACGCATGCGGCCGCGGGCACTGGGGCCTTCGGTGGAGCTCCCTATGGAGCCACGAAACGTGTGAGGGGTGTGCCGAAATGGGTGTGGGGGACGCATGCGGCCGCGGGCACTGGGGCCTTCGGTGGAGCTCCCTATGGAGCCACGAAACGTGTGAGGGGTGTGCCGAAATGGGTGTGGGGGACGCATGCGGCCGCGGGCACTGGGGCCTTCGGTGGAGCTCCCTATGGAGCCACGAAACGTGTGAGGGGTGTGCCGAAATGGGTGTGGGTGACGCATGCGGGCGCGGGCACTGGGGCCTTCGGTGGAGCTCCCTATGGAGCCACGAAACGGTGTACTGGGTGGGTGAAGAGGAGAGAGGAGGGAGAGGAGGGAGCGCGCCCTCTCTTCAAAACGAGGACCCAACACCACAGGATGGTTCGGAATTCTCAAGAGGGGGAGATAACCCCAGTCGGTCCCTGGGGGTCCATCCTCAGGCCCCCAGCCCCCGGCTCCAAATCTGCGCCTCCTCTCACGAGCGCCGAACGTATCCGTATCCGCACCCTCGCGGCCTGGACTCCAGGGGCGCGATCCCGCGGATAGTATACGCGGGCGCACGGCCAAGCTACGCCACGTATCCGCAGGGTCGCGGCCCAGAGGCCTGGCCCGCCAGGCCGCGAACACGAATATGCTTGTCGCCTGCGATCCTCGGGAATCCTGGGGACACCCTGTGGTGACGGCAACGAGAGGCGGGACTGGTTCTGAGGGGGAAACATCGACTCGGAATCGGCGATACATCGCCGATAGATCGGGGATCGACCCCGATAGCAAATCGGCACGGTCCTGGGCGGTGTGGGCCATCGGGCCCCTATCGGCGATGAATGAGCGATTGGGGTCGATGCATCCCCCCTCGGCGTATGCCCTCCTTACTGTTGCAACCTGATCCCAAACATGAGACGCCCTGATTTTTTCAATACGCGGTCCCCGGGAGTCCCGACCCATTGCCCGGGGCTGGTTTTTCATCCTGAGTCGTTTTCACGATCGTCCTGGGGCCCGGTGAGGGCCCCCAGAGGCCCAAAACGACGATAAACCTCCGGTCCCGATTTTTGTTACGGCGGGAGCACGTCTGAGATGGGGACACCCTGTGGGCTGGGCCAGCGACACCCCTGGCAACAACCGGCGGCGTCGGTGGCTAAAGATGGAGTCCTGAGGGATGGGGTCCTAAGGGCGAGGTGGCCCAAACAGCGTAAATCCACCCTTGGACCTCTTCCTATCCTTAGAACCCCATTCCTCAGGATCGGCGGCCAACCCGGGGGGAAGTGGGAAGGGGCGGGCCTCCTCAGAAGGCTCGGAAGTCCCCCGGCCCTCTGGGAAGCTTCCTGAGCCTGCCCCGAAGAAGAAGGAGACTTCTCAGCAGGCGCGAGGGCCTCCGAGAAGCCCCGCCACCTTCTGAGAAGGCCGCCCGCTCCGCCCGCCCGGGGCCCACCCCGGCCCGCGTCTCGAGGCGGAGCCGGCAGTGGCGGTGGAGAGGCCTCCAGGCTTCGGGCAGCCCACCACCAGGGCCGAAAAGCGCCAGGGGAAGGCCCCGACCCGCCGCCGCCAGGACCCCACCCCTGAGAGCCGGCGCCGCGGGGAACACTGCGGCGTCGCAGACATTCACGGCCAGGGCCCCGGGGCCCCGTCTTGCTGCGCCGCTCTTCGCGGCGGGTCGACCCGCGAGGGCCCCTGCAGGGGCCCGGAGCGGGGCGAGGGCGCACGCTGTGAGACAACGGCATCGCCGGGACCTCCCCAACCCAACCCGAAGACCCGAATTTGACCCGAATTTCGGGTTGGGGGGGGTACGGATACCATGTGTTTTCTCAACGTTCCCCGACCCCCCCCCACTGGAAATCGAGGATAAATTTGGGCCTTCGGGTTGGGTTGGGGTGGTTTGGTGGGTGGTGAGGGAGACAACGGCATCGCCGGGACCTCCAGGGATCCTCGAGCCACCGACGTTGGCGGCGCGCAGAAGAGGGGGGGAGGGGAAAAAGGGGAAGGCGTCCTAGAAGCACCCCTGCTCAGAAGGCGCGGGCCCTGTCCGCAGATGCAGGGCCGGCGCCCCCTGAGGAGCAGCGTCCTTCCAAGAAGCCTTCCCCCCTCCCCCTACCTGAGGGGCAACGATGGGGGGGGACTGGCATAGGGGGGATGCATCGACGTGGAATCGGCGCTACATCGCTGATAGGTCCGCGATAGGCCCCCGATAGCGAATCCGCACGGTCCTGGGCAGGCTGGGGCTATCGGGCCTCTAGCGGCGATCCATGGGCGATTGGGGGTCGATGCATCCCCCCCTATGCTTAGGTCGGGCATGTCCCCCTACAGGCCGATTTGGGGCGAAAAATTAAAAATAGTTCATAAAGACTCAAACATAATCGAAAAACCGTCCCCAGACTATTTTTCAACTATTGTTGAACATTCCTCCTGTAGAAGGACAGGCCCGACTTCAGCCTACGCCTATCCCCCCCATATCGTTGCCCCTGACTGCCCTTCGGTCGGGCCTGCCCCCCTACAGGGGGAATTGTGGACGAAAGATTGAAAATACTTACAAAAAATGCTCTCAAAAGATGCCCACGAATACTCAAAAAAAATAATCTTTCTTTGCTCTTCTGTAATATACCCCCTGGAGAGGGACAGGCCCGACATGCGACCACCCCCGTGTGCGCGCCGCCACCGACGTCCGGGGCCCCAAAACTCCCACCGCGGGGCACGCCGGCGGCCGCGCGGGCGCCGCGCGGGCGGCGCGCACGGGGGGGCGCCGGGGCGAGGGACGAGTGGGCACTCGGCCGTTGCGGGCCGTCCTGGGCCCGCTCCGGGCCGTTCCGGGCCGTCCTGGGCCCGTTCCGGGCCGTCCTGGGCCCGTTCCGGGTCGTCCTGGGCCCGTTCCGGGCCGTTCCGGGCCGTTCCGGGCTGTTTCGGGCTACCGGGCCGTTCCGGGCCGTTCTGGGCCGTTCCGGGCCGGGCCGTTCTGGCCCGTTCCGGGCCGTTCCGGGCCGTTCTGGGCCGAGTTCTGGGCCGTTCTGGGCCGCGTCGGCGGCGCTCGATCCGAGGCTCTGGAGCGCGGCGTCCGCCAGCTGGTGCCGCATCCGCCTCCGACGCCGATCCCAGACTCCCTCGCGCTGTGGAAGAGTCACGACAGGAGGCTTTTCGCTATCTTCAGCCTCCGGGAGCCCTGGCCGGGCCCCGGGACCGTCAAAAAACTAGTCAGGATGACGAACCAGTCCAGGGGAAGGAGTCGAGACCTCTGGGGGTCGATGCTTTGAAAAGATCACGGCGTCGGGGGTCCGAGATCCTTCGGCTGCTGCTTGGCTCTCGCTGGGCCCTGGGGCCATCAAGAAGCGGCTCTGGATGAGAGGCTGGTGCTGGGGGACGGGTTGAGACCTCTGGGGGTCACGTGATGACAAAATCATGACGTCGGGGGGCTGGGATCTGGGAGTTGCAATTTTTCGCTCTGGGCGCTTTCCCTCGGCGCCGGGCCCCAGAACTCTCACGGACCGCTCCGGCTCGCGAACTGCCGCGAAAAATCTGGCCAGGGGCTCCGGTCTTGATGCTCCACGTTGCTGCAACGTTTGCTGCGACGCCAGATCTCAGGGTGGCCAGTTTTCCAGGTTGGTCCATCCGTGGCGACAACAAACTCCAGAAACGATCAAAAGCGCCCCCAGAACTTCCGAAACGACGTCGCCGCTCTCACAAGGAAACCTCGTCGTCCACGCAGGCATCAAAACCACAAGACCAGACCCCATCTGCCATCTGGACGCGTGGATCTCGAGTTCCTCGTGGATATGATGTGGTGGTTCGGTGCTTTGGAACCCGAACAGGTGGGAGTCTGATCTCGTGGCTCTGACGCCTACACCAAAACACCACTTCGACTAGGGGACCAAACAATGACATAAACACAACGTGTTTCCGAAGTCCGCGCGAATTGAAGGGATCGGCGCTGGGGCCCCCTGGCGGCGCCTCCAGCGCCGCCCCTGGCGCGCTCCGCGCGCCAAGGAAGGGGATCCAGCGCCGATCCGAGAAGTCCGCGCGGACCGCCGCGAAAATTCATGTGTACGCAAACATTTTCTCATTCGGCGTTTCGACATTGGGCGGAGGGGGGGGAACGGGGGTGTCTGGCTCCGGACCTCTGCTCAATGCGACTGTTTGCAGCAGTACGTCCTACGGGGGAGACCCCACCTGCTCGAAACAGGCGCCAAAAACAGCCAAGCTCTACTCCATGTGGGGGGGGAGGGTTGGGGGGGGGGTGCGAGGGCCCGCGCCGATCGGCAAAACAATTGGCAAGGAAACGGTCACTATGTCATTGTTTGCCCCTGGTCGACGCAGCCAGGACCATGCAGAGCAGCGCCACGGCCGCGCCGCCCTCGCCCCGCTCCCTCCGGTGCGCGCCGCCGACGTGCCGGGGCAGCGGAACTGGAAAACAGAAAGGGGCCTCGGAGGGCCCCCCGAACGGAGCGCGCAGGAGCTGGCGATGGGGGGGCGACCCCCCAGGCACTGCTGCTGATGTTGCTCCTCCTCCTCCTCCTCCTCCTCCTCCTCCTCCTCCTCCTCCTCCCTCCTCCTCCTCCTCCTCCTCATCATCATCCTCCCTCATCCTCATCCTCCCTCCTCCCTCCTCCTTCCTCCTCCTTCTCCTCCTCCTTCTCCTCCTCCTCCTCTTCTCCTCCTCCTCCTCTCTCCTCCTCCTCCTCCTCCTCCTCTTCTCCTCCTCCTCCTCTTCTCTTCTCTTCTCTTCTCTTCTCTTCTCTTCTCTTCTCTTCTCTTTTCTCCTGCGCGCGTTCTTGCTAATTCTCAAGAAAACCATACGATTCTCATAACTTTCAGAAAATCAAGCGGCCTTCGCACGCGCGCATGTCGAAATCGTTTAAACGCCCTTGCGCGCGTGCTTGGGTTGGCGCAGCCGCAGAGATGCACCAGCCAACGCCAAGCACTCATCGCAATCGCTACCGCATGGGTTCTGCAAACCAAGCTGCGGGCAGGTTGGTGGGATTTTTGCAAGCGTATGGGATGTGTCAACTCGTTTGTCAAAACCAACTGCGCCACATGGATTGCGCCACATAGGTTGCACCAAATAGATTGCACCACATGTTACACCACACAGATTGCACAACCTAGACGTCACCACATAGGTTGACTAACACCGATTGCACAACATTGATTGCACAACATAGGTAGCACCACATCGGTTGCAAAACATATGGCACCAGATCGCACCGCACATCTTGCACCACATAGATTTCACGAAATAGATCGCACCACATCGGTTGCATGACATCGATTACACCACCAAGGTTGCGCACCACATGTGCCCCGCCACATAGATTGCCCCACATGTATTGCACAACACATATGTTGCACAACATCGATTGCATAACTGATGTTGCGCCACATAGATTGCACCGCACATATGTATATATATATATATATATATATATATATATATAGATTGCTCCACATAGCTTGCGCCCGCCCTAGATCGCACCACATCGGTTGCGCAACCTCTATTGCACTTCATAGATTACACCGCAAATATTGCACCACATATATAGCTCCACATCGGTTGCATAACATATGCTGGTATAAACGCACTGTGTTGCGTCCACACTGGCTAACGTCTTATTGTCATTGTTCGTCTTAGTAGTACTCCTATGCTCTGTCTTCTGCAAGCGAGAGAACGAAGGCGAGAGAGGGAGAGAGACGGAGGGAGGAGGGAGCGGGAGAAGGTGGAGAAGGGGGGAGGAAGAGGGGTGAGGAGGGGGAGCAGGTTGGACGCAGGCCGAAAACGTCATGCCGCAACGCCGATTTGAACCCAGGACGAAGGAGCAGGACATGTTGCATCTGCTCTGACAGAGCTCTTGCATCCGTCCAGGGGAGCACCGAATCGCGTGACTGCCAGCCCGGGGCCAAGATGACACTCCCAGCCCCGCTCCATGGAACCCCGCAGCACATAGCTGTCAGCCAAAAGAAATTCCGACACCTGTCGAACCCAACTGCGGCAGGCCATGGAATGCACATCTGGTATCAATCAAAATGCGTTCCAGCACCCTGTGGGCCCCGTCCCAGGGAGCCCCGAAGCAAGTCCGCCGACAGCCGCTTCCCAGGGGCGAGAAGGTGTGTGAGATGATCAGCTGTCCTCCTCCTCCTCCTCCTCCTCCTTTCTCCCTCCCTGGGGGTCCAAAATGAAATTCCCAAATGCCTTTACTATTTTTGTCATTTCGCTTCGCTTCCGATGGGCTTCTGAGGCCTCGAGATGTCCCCAAGATCGCCCAAGAGAGCCCCAACAGGGGCAAAGAACCGGTACAAGTTGGCCTCGAAGACCTTCAAGAGCGCTGCAAGAGCATCCCACAAAAGGACCAAGAGGCGAAATGTTCAGCCTCCAAGTGAAGGGAAACCCTAATTGTGGACCCTGCGTTTTGGATTCATGGCCTCCAGGATGTCTTCAACAGGTCCGCCACGGTCCCAAAAAGGTCTCGACTAATCCCCAAGAGGGCTTCAGAGTCTCCAAAACGGGCCCAAAGAGACCTCCAAGATGACCCCAAGAGGATTCCGAAGGTCTCTAAGATCGGCACTATTGTTTTCTTGTGTGTTACTGTATGCTTATATAGTTCCTTTCTTCCGACGGTTCGCCTGGGCTTCGTTTCTGGATTGGCTGCTGTGGATACTGGACGCGAGCATAATTGCATTCGCCCATCCACCTTCTGGGTGTCGGCGGAATGGCATAAGCCTCCTGAGTAGCTGTCGGCCGAAATCGCCAGAGGCGATCTCACAACTCGTCCTTGAGCTTCTCGAGCAGCTTGATGCGCTGGTTAATCCAAGAAAGCTTGTCGTCCTTCATCTGGCCGCCTTTCATTCCGGTCAGTCTCTTCAGCTCTCCCTCAACCTTCTCCTTCGGCTTGTCCTTCTGCTTGGCGATGTAGTCCTTCTCCTTGTCCTTGCAGCCCTCAAGGCTCTTGACGTCGCACCGGCTAGCGGGGACCTTGCCCCCCTTGATCTTGATGATCTCCATGGTGAACACCAGCACGTCGCCGCCGCCGATCTTGGGAGGGCTGCCGCGATCGCCGTAGCCAAGCTCCGAGGGGATATACCTCGAGTTCACGAGTTGAGAAAGAAAATCAATCACGGATGTTACGGGAAGAACTACGGTGCACATAGGTCCTGGAGAATTCATGGTCCTGATCCTGTTCCTGTGCCACCAACTCATGCTCATTCGTGCTCCTGCCTGCTCCTCCTGCTCATTCTCCGGCTCCGAAATCTGTTCCTGATGCTGAGTTTGCTGCTGCTGAGATGGTTGTAGTGGCGCTGCTGGTACAACTGCTGCAACCGCTGCTGCTGCTGCTGCTGCTGCTGCTGCTGCTGCGGCGGCGGCGGCGGCTGCTGCTGCTGCTGCTGCGGCTGCGGCGGCGGCTGCTGCTGCTCCTGCTGCTGCTGCTGCTGCTGCTGCTGCTGCTGCTGCTGCTGCTGCTGCTGCGCAGCGGCGGCTGCTGCTCCTGCTGCTGCTGCTACCGCTGCCGCTGCCGCTGCCGCTGCCAGAGTATTGTGGGCCCTCTTGAAGCCTCTGTTTCCTCATCATGCGCCGACGGAGCCCATAGATCGCGCGCGCCAAGCAACGCTTTTTGGTAGTACCGCTGACGCTCGCTAATACTGTGCTGTGCCCGTGGAGCTTCTGCTTCGAAGACCTGCGGACGATAGCAAACTGTTAACGGCCTGCTCGTGACGAGAACACCCGTGCGCTCATCCTGACTGGAAACGACCCACGCATATGTCGCGGTCCTTACCGAAATTCCGGGCCAACGACCGCTCTTCGATGATAGTTCCGTTCGCCAGGGCCTGCTCGAAGACTAGGCCTGCCATGCCGCCAGCCCAGTCCTGCGGCCCGCTGTGCCAGCAATCGTCAACAACAACGAGCGCCGACGGGCGGGCCAACATAGAAAAGTGCACTATGTCAGCGACAATGATGTCCTCATAATGCCCACCGTCGATGTAGACCAAATCACAGGTTATATTGCCTGCGGCAATTGCATCCTTCAGCGTCTCGCGACTGTCTCCAAGAATGAGTGTGTGGCGACCTGGAAACTCGTTCTGCAACAAGTCGTCAGCCATGTGGACATACTTGTGTGAGCCAAGGTCCCACGACACGACCCGCGCCTCTGTGTAGCAAAGAAAAGCATAAGAGGAGGTTCCATAATTAAAACCAGTTTGGCATATCTGCACCGACTCCGCTGGGCGATCCAGTCGCGCTGTCTCGTTGATTGCCAACTCCCCGAGATACTCGAACTGCCGTTCAGACGTTCCACCCTCGACGTAGTCGACCTGCTCGCCATCTGGGGGGATAGGAAAACCTCCCCCTTGCCGCAGTGCCCCCTTAATTTCGCGCAACCCCCCCTTGCACTGTTGGCTCTTCGCCCCGCACTGATCACTCTGGCGCGTCAGCCTTGGATCCAGCTCATGGAGGGGGACGCACTTGTCGAGACCACCTATCCAGCGGCAATCGCCGTTGCACCAGCCTGCCCCGTGGCCCCGCGGGCAGAGAGAGCAGTGCGTTGCCTTGTGGCCGCCGCACGAGACCTGGCACGACGGCGCCCCCTCGACCAAAACCTGGCGGCAGCCCTCCGCAGAGCTGAGGAACGATAGGCCGCCCCTGCCGGAGCAGACGGGGTCCAGCAGCCCATCCCCGTCGCAGTCCTGGACCGCGTATGCCCCGGCCGCCCCGGCGAGGCGCCAGAGGCTGGACAGCGCGCCCGCATGCCCGCCGCACCAGCCCCGCGGGACCAGGCACGCCTGCCCCGGCAATCGGCGACCCTCCTCCGCCTCGGAGGCCCTGTCGGGTACACAGGACTCGTTCACCCACCGGCAGTCACCCTGGCACCACAGCGCCCCCCTGCCAAGCGGACACGACTCGCAGCCCGCCGAGTTGTAGAGCGGACCGCACGACACCTCACACTGCCGCGGGCCGCGCGCCCACGTGTCCCGACAGCCGTCCGCCGAGCTGATGAAGCCCGAGTGCCCGTCGGAGTCGTGGCTGGAGCAGAAATCGGGGAACAAAAAGAACACGGACAAAAACTGCTGGAGGCCCACGCGGACTTCTTGGACGGGCGCCGGAGACGCCGCCGGGGGGGGGGGGAAGGGGGCTCCAGCGCCGACCCGAGAAATCCGCGCGGACCTCCGGGAGGCTGTGCACGTGTCGCTCTTTGCTTCCCGGGGCAGGGGTCCGGCACCCCGTCCCCGTCGCAGTCACGCACCGCGAAGGCGCCGCCGGGGGCGGTGCACCAGCCCCGCGGGCGGGCGCAGCCGCGGCCCGCGTGCCGCGCGGCCGCGGGAGGGGCGGGCGCCTCCGAGGCAGCCTGCACGCCTGGGGGCCGGAAGGCTGGGCACAGCGTCGCGAAGGGGACCGTGCGCGGGCCGCCCGTGGGTTCCCACAGCCAGACGGAGCCGTTGAGCACGTGCGCGACGCGCGCCGGCCGATCGAGGCCCAGCTGGGCAACCACCTGCCGCAGGCCATCGATGTGCTTGTCGCCGTTGAAGTGGAGAAGCCCTGGCGTGCCGAGAGTGTGCGCGTTCTTGAACGTTCTGTGCTCGATCGAAAAGTCCCTCCCGCGAACATGCTGGTTCATGCATTGGAATAACAAAGTGTGGTGGTCGAGCGCCGTGTCGCCCTTGCCACCGAGGTATGGCAGAGTCGAAACGTAATACAGATTCACCAGCGCCTGATCATTCAAATCCTGTGTGCGAACACTGTGCTTGTGAAATGTAAAGCGGGAATCAGGGCTGTCAAGCAGTGCACGGTACATTGAAAGCAGAGCGTCGGCTCTGGCGACATATGCCCCAGAGTTTGCAAATTGCAAAATGTACCCGCCCGCCTTTTTGGCGCCATCAGGCTCCGGGAACAAGACCTTAAGAAATTGCAGATACTTGTGCGCGTAGTCTGTATCAAAACCGACCCAGAATCCGGCCTCAGCAGCGAACAGAATGGAAACGTTGGATCTGGCCAACCCATCACGAAAAAAAGATGCGTTGCGCAAGACAACGACATCTTCAGCATCATGGATGATGAACCGTGCGTCCGATAGAGACCGCCCGGCTTCCTCTGCGAACCGCGAGACGAAAGCTTGGTGGGCTTTCATCTTATGCCCAATTACGTGCAACCACCGCTCAAGTTGATCCGTCCGTGATAGACGATCCGGCGCTTTCGTCGCGAAGCCACCGAAGCCCAGCACAACCAATTCAGTCCCCTGATAAAGCTCAGAAAAGGCCGTGAGGCAGAAACCATCACTTGAATGCGTCGCGTATGTGATGGCAAGAGCTTCCTTCGTTGCAGCATCCACAAGCGTGCCCCAATCTGCGTGGCAAGGGCCGAGTCCCAGTAGCAAGGTCAGCAAGGTCAGCGGTGCAGCGTGATCAGACCTTGCTGACATAGTATGCGCCGAGCTTTCCGCTGCACTTTCTTGTGATGTTGCAGAATGGCCGAAGATCGACAAACTGAGCTTCCAACCAAACGGAATTAAGCCAAAAAAGCTACGGGGGCACTCTTGAGGCCTCTGTGGAGACCCCCAAGACGGCTCAAGAGGCCCTAAAGAGGACCCAGGAGGACCCCAAGAGAACCACAAGGCGGCCTCGAGAGGCCCCCCAGACGGCCACCGAAGGGGCCAGATGGCGCAAGAGCGCCCCAAGACGGCCCAAGAGGCCACCAAGAGGCCCCAAGAGGCCCCAAAGAGGCCCCAAAGAGGCCCCCAGGGGCCAGCAAAAAGCCCCCAAGAGGCCGCCAAAAAGCCCGCAAACGGCCACAAGAAACCATCCAGAGGCCCGCGGAATTGTATATGAATGGCGACACGCGGCGCTGCTCACCAGAGTTTGAACTTGGCGGTGGACGCGGTGGACGCTTATTGCCCTCGTGGACATTTGCGCGCTCGTCCCGGCGCCGAAGCGGAAGGGAGCGCATCCGCCCCCCGTGGCACTCGTAGCGCCCTGGGGCGGGCAGAACGGCACGGCAGAACGGCGCGGCAGACGAGCAGGGCAAACCACCCAAAGCCCAGTCTCAGCATGCTCTGGACGTGCACCCCGCGAAGCGAGAGGAATCCACGTCCAGAAGTGACGTGTTGCCGGAGGCATGTCGCGGAGCGGAGCAGAAGCCCTGATGCAACAGATTCCGTACATCCAAATATTGCATATTTGCTACATGCTTTAGACTTTTACATTATACGTGTGCGCCCTGATCCCCCCTCCTGGAGTCGCGCCACACCCGCGCAGCAAACGTGGCACCCTTGTCTGACCGAAAAACGTACCAAAACGTGCGGGACATCTACGATATCGGCCTCTGGGGCCTCTGGGGATCCAAAAGGGCCTTCAGCAGGCTCAACATGGCCTCCAGGCGGCCCAAGACGGCCCCAAGAGAGCTCCAAGACAGCCCCCAAAAAAAACCCGAGATGGCCCAAAGAGGGCCCAAAAACTGCTCCAGAGGCCCCCAAGACGGCCAAAGACGACCCCAAGAGAGCCACAAGGCGCCCTCGAGAGGCCCCCAAGACGGCCTCCGAAGGGGCCAGACGGTGCAAGAGCGCCCCAAGACAGCTCACGAGGCCCCCAAGAACCTCCAAAAGGCCCCAAAGAGGCCCCCAAGAGGCACCCAGGGACCCCCAAGAAGCCTCCAAGAGGCCACCAAGAAACCCCCAAACGGCCCCAAGAAACCACCAAGAGGCCCGCGCAGTTGCGTACGAATGGCGCGCCGATGCTATGCTCATCGGAATTCAAGCTTGGCGTTACCTTGTGCTGACACGCGGTCAATGCTCAGTGCCCCCGTGGACATTCGCACGATCGTCCCGGAGCTGAAACGTGGTGGCCAGGGCGCATCCGCCCCCCGCGGCGCTGGCAGCGCCCCAGGGCGGACAGAACAGCGCAGCAGACGAGCAGGGCAAACCACCCAACGCCTGGTCTTTACGAGCTCTGGACGTGCACCCCGCGAGGCGAGAGGATCCCGTCAAAAACTGACTAGGCTGAGCTTCTCGCCCGTTCGCTTTTGGCGGGCTTCGGAGGCCCCAAGATGGCGCCAACTATCGCCCAAGAGGAACCCACAGGGCTCCAAGAGGGCCCCGAA